ATTATGAACTTCAGAAAAATCTTGAGAACTTCAGTGAAAATCATAGAAATATATTAATTATTTCGTTCTAATTCCATGAAAATTTCGGGAGCACAAAAGTTCCATAAATTTAGAAAAATTTCGGAAACATTACAGAAAGACAATGGTCTTCAAAAACCAAAAAAAAAATATTTTTTTAAATTTATTTCTTACTGAAAATCACTATTTCTGACAGCAGTGATCGCTACCAGCCCTACAGAGGGCAAAATTACTCCGCAAATACGAAAATTTATTCAAGGCGTCCAGAAAGACAAAATCGAATGAACGTCAGCTTCCTACCAAGATGTTAAAAACGGTTTGAATGACTCGCTGCTGATGGCAAATAGTAAGTTCAGATTACAGATGTATAACATTTTATAGCACTATCTTGATGGTGGTTTCTGTGTTGCAATTATTTGACAACCGTTATAACATGTTATAACTCTGTAGTAGTCTGAACGTGGTATTAAGCTAGCTTTCTTCAAATCAGTTGGTGTCGAAGTTAAGCCATTTCAATGCGAATTTCAGACGGACAACCCTATGGTGTCTTTTTTGTGCAACGCGATGTCTCAAATGGTTAGAGGCATTATGGAAAGGTTTATTAATATTGATTATCTGAACAATATTGCACAGGTAAATGCACATTTGATCAATAAGATCGCAAAAAGGAACAACTGGACGTTTTTTGGCACAGGTTATTGGTCGGCGTATTTAGAACTATTGTTGGTTGTGAAAATGATTTGCTGCTTATCGCATGACAACGCCAATGCAGAGAGAGGTTTTTTGGTAAATGTAGAATATCTTTGTGAAGACATGAGGACTTTCCTATCAAGGCCCAAGCGCAATGACAGCGGAACGGCAGTGGCAGCGGAAAAGCCCGATCTGAGTAAGCCTATTTGTCGGATTGAAAACTAGTTAGAATCAAATCGACTGCGGTTAGGCATCTTGATGTCATTTGTGACAATTGTCAAACTTTCCGTTTCCGTTCCGCTTCCGCCCACATTGCGTTTGGGCCTTCAGTCGTAGCGCAACGTTAGATCTATGATGGTGTTACTCATGCAGGCGGGTTGGAAAACTTACAAATTTTGAATAAACTTATTCAGCGAGTTCGAAAAATCTCATTCGCTTTCCATGTAGACAAGGATCGTCGTATGAAAGAAGCTCTCGATTCCGAAAACTCAAGATGCTCAAAAAGAAGCCGAGAGTTTGCAGGAGAAAATTGTTCTGCTCAAATGATAAACATTTTTAAAAGTAATCTGAAAATGAAAATAAACACAAATTCAACTTGCAATTTCTCGTTGTAATGTGAACTCACCGAGAGAATAAAATGTTAATGATAATTAAACTTAAATTATTTTGCCATGTCTGTGGTTGTCATATGGAGTTCCAGAGAGTACGAAACTGACTAATGCATGAGCAGTGCATCCTCAGGTTCGGTTGCCAAAGCAAGAATAATCACTGCTCTACTATTTTACAATAATTTATATGTTAAGAGAAAGGATCGTCTACGGGTTGATTTTTATTTGGCTGTGAAATTATGAACACAAATTGAGAGCTTGGTGACATTGATTAAATATTCAAATTATTACTTAGTAATTAATAGTGAGCCTAGTTGTGAGCAGTAGTTATTCATTATTATATTGTAATATGTATTTATAGCCCTAGGCATATTCACATCCTTCGTAGATAGTCGGTCATATGTTTTGTAAAAATTGTATTAGTATCAAGTTCTGTTGTACGTGCCATGAGTATGCTATTCTTGATATCTTCGAAAGCTTACCCTGCTGCTCATTTTAAACTAATCTTAATTTACACTACGGTATAATAAAGCACATCACGTTGTAGCTTCTTAGGTTAAAATAACGAAGTTTTGATGACTGGAATATTTCTTAAAACCGACTGGAAAGTCAGGGAAAGTCAGGGAATTTTATTTTCGACTTTGAGTCGACACCCTGGGATACTGATTTGAAAATAACCGATCATGAGACTTTAGTGATTAATGTCTTAGACCATGTTAACGATAACGATAATTTTGTAAAATTGAAGTGCTGGAGGAAATATTCGAAGCAAGCTGTTTCAAACCTTGTTGAGAGAAGCCTGGATTTTCCATTCGCGGACGGTAACTTAGATGAATCTACAGCTGTTCTTAATAACACTTTGAAAACGTGTACCAATCAACTAGTTGAGCAAAAGTTTGTTTCTTTGAAAAACTCGAACAGCTGGTACAATTTGGATCTTTTGCGTCTTAAACGGAAAAGGGACAAATGGTACAAAAAGTTTTGTAGATCTAATAATGACAATCATTGGACTAGGTACACAATCGCGCGTAATAAGTATTCACAATCGATAAAGAAAACTCGTTGTGAATATGTTCAAAGGAAGATTGATCAGCATCAAAACAACAGCAAAGAGTTATGGAAAATTTTGAAATCTTTATTAAAACCTAGTAAATGGAAACCGCGGTCCATAACTTTTAATGGCACATTAGAACAGTCAGAACAAGTAATTGCAGCTAAGTTTAATGATTATTTCGTAGATAGCGTTTCATTGATTAATCAATCTATTGAATTGGTCGATGAACCTGACGAAATAAAACAGCCAGTTAATAGTAGTTGTAGATTTGAAGTTTTTCACCCAATCACATTAGATGAACTTAGAGTTATTTGTTTTTCATTAGGAAAATCGGCTGGAGTAGATAATGTTAATGCTAGAGTTATTCAAGATTGCTTTCATGTCATTGGCCACATCTTGCTGGACCTTATTAATGAATCATTACAAACTGGACATGTGCCACAAATTTGGAAGGAACCCTTAGTGGTCCCTATTCAAAAAGTTGCTGGAACGATTAAAGCCGAAGAGTTTCGTCCCATCAACATGTTGCACACATTAGAGAAAATCTTAGAACTTGTTGTTAAAGGCCAGCTGTTGGAGTATTTGAATAGCAACTCTTTGTTGATACCAGAACAATCGGGATATCGGGAAGGTCATTCTTGTGAAACTGCATTGAATTTGGTGTTAGCAAAGTGGAAAGACAACTTGGAGCGTAAAGATACGATTGTTGCTGTTTTTTTGGATCTGAAACGCGCTTTTGAAACAATTTCTAGGCCCTTACTGTTAAGTACAATCAAGCGCTTTGGAATTACGAGTACTGCATATAAATGGTTTGAAAGCTATTTGTCTGACAGAACTCAACGGACTGTTTTTAATGATTCTGTTTCCAGTCCCGTGGGGAACAACCTTGGAGTGCCCCAGGGAAGTGTATTAGGGCCCCTTTTATTTATTAAGTATATTAATGACTTGCGACGTGTTTTACGGTTTTGCGACATTAACCTTTTTGCAGATGATACTGTGTTATTCATTGCAGCTAAGGATTTAGAAGTTGCCGTCTCACACTTGAATGAAGATTTGCAGTATCTAAGTAGATGGTTGAAGTGTAAGCAGTTAAAATTGAATACAAGTAAAACTAAATTTATGGTAATTTCGCGGAATCGATTAAATGAGAACGTCTCTGTTGTAATTGATGATGAGACTATTGATCGCGTTCAGGAGATTAAATATCTTGGCGTGATTATTGATGACAAACTTAAGTTCAACTCTCACATTGACAATGTCATCAAGAAAATTGCCAAGAAGTATGGAATTCTATGTCGATTGAAAAACGATTTAACTATTGCCAGTAAAATACAGCTATACAAATCAATCATCTCTCCTCATCTAGACTTTTGCCCATCCATTTTATTTCTGTCGAATGCAACACAAATATCGAGATTACAGCGCTTGCAGAATAAAATAATGCGTTTGATTTTGAGATGTAATAGATTCACTTCCTCAACTTTGATGTTAGACGCCTTACAATGGTTGTCGGTGAAGCAAAGAATTGTATATTTGACTATGGTGTTCATTTTTAAAGTAGTTAACGGTTTGCTGCCTCGATATTTGTGTGATCGAATTGAAAGAGGAAGTGACTATCATAGATATAATACTAGAAACGCGGATGAAATAAGAACACCACATTTCTTGACTTGCGCTTCACAGAATTCATTATTTTTTAAAGGAATAAATGTTTTCAATTCGATGCCTAGACACATTAAACGTTCAACAACATTAGCAGAATTTAAGAGACATTGCATTTCACACGTTAAAACTGTCTTTTGAACGGTTATCCAGTGATTTTTTTTTATGAATTGACAAATTATGTATCTTGACGAAGTTATTTTTAACGGATTACTTTGTATGGATAGCTGTTATAACGACTTTTTAATAATTATTGTAGCACTGCAAAAACTATTTTGTTCGCCACGATGGTGATGATGGATTTTTGATATATGATTTAATAGTAGTAGTAAAAAAAATAGTAGTCTACAAAGGTTTGAGCCTCGCGCGCGTATTACGGATATAGAGGACTGAATTTAACATTTGATAAAAAAAAATGCAATTTTGAAGCTTATTTGGAAGATACCTTGAGTTAGTAGTAAGTTTTCTGGCAAATGTTGGGGGTTTGTGAGCATTCCTGACATTGCTGAAAATTATGATAGCATCAGATTGCGGGGTTACTAGTGTAATAGGATGCTTTGTTGATTGTTCATTAACTCTTGATTGCTTGTAATACTTATGAATATTTTAGGTGGACAAAAAGGCGAACTAAGAGGTGGACGCCTGAGCTTTTCAACATTTATATCGCTGTGAAGCAACTGTAAACTCTAGAGGGAATTTATATCTGTAACTGAAACCAGTTCGATTTTGTTTGCCAACCTGGTTAAAATGTCATATTTAATTATCTTAAAGATAAACCGTCCAGCTCAAACCTTTGTAGGGGTAAGAGGTGGGACCATCATCATCATCATCATCACCAGTCGTTGTGAATGGAAAGGCACCGGCCTTCTGGGTTTGAATACCGGCTTCACCCCTGGTTGAAGAAATAGCTGAACCTTTGTTTTCGTACAACGTCCGAGCCCGTCTTGAAAAACCGCTGGATACTTTACCTTCAGTGCATTGCAATACACCTCCGAATCTCCTACGGTCGTAACTAGCTTGCAGAACGAATTAATCGGAACGTCATACAGACCAAAAGCATCCATGAGATCGCTTCCGAGAACGTTGAAGCCTTTCACCGATGTCACGTAGCACACCGAACGCTTGGTCAATCCCTTCAGTGTAACCTGGCACTCGAACTCCGAATTCAGTGGTAGTAGCTTGCCTGATGCTGTAGTTACTTTCAGACTCGTGGAACATGTTTCCGGATCACCGAGCTGTGTTAGTGACTCCTCAGAAACAATCGTGTAGTCCGAACCGCAATCGATTTGAAGTTCTATCGGGAAATCGTTGATGCAAATTTCTACGTATTTACGTCTGCCGATGACACCGGCCTTGTTGACTGCATAAATACCCTTCGTGTGGCCAGTTTGCTCATGTTGCTTTTTATTCCTGTACTTCTTCTTCTTCTTACCACCGACTTCCGGTGGTGGTTCCGATAAAGCTGGAGTAGACTTAGCAGACCTTGAGAAGCATCCAAAATAGCCTTCCTTATGCCCCACTTTTCCGCAGCTTCGACAGGTGTGAGTTGTATACGAGCAATCTGCAACAAAATGCATCTGCCCGCACTGCCAGCACGGTCGTCGTGGAGACTTATGTCGTTTTCGTTTTTGCTACACCGCTACACCGGTGCTACACCGCCGAACACCGAAAAATTTTAGGGTGTAGCTATCGGTTGCACCTTTGTTTACAAACAAATGATGATAAACTGTCAATGACTCGCGCTTATTGCTGCTTACACTACACCGGTGTAGTGTAGTAAAAACGAAAACGACATTAGCAGCATCCTGTTTCTTCTTCTCCGATGACCATTTATTGTTACCTCGCACAGCATCACACACAGCGTACACGGCAGCTTTTGGGTTCTCAATAACAGCGGTGTCGTGTTTGAGATTGTCCATTTGCTAACATTCCAACAACAGCTTCTTGAGAGTCATTGGATCCGCCACTGTCTCGCTTTCCATCTTCGCGAGCAATCTCGTCCGAATGTCTTTGTTTTTCTCCGAGTGCAGCCCAGCGACAAAGATCAAGCACTTAAATTGATCAGCAGTGATGGTGTTGACGTTGAAATCTTCGCATGATTTGTTCACAGCACTGGCGTAGGTGACAAAATCGTCAGCGTCCCGCTTGCGTGTTTGTAAACACTGGAAACGACGGAAAAACACAGATGTCTGGTGACCGAACATTTCCTTCAGCGTTTCCACTGTGTCCGCAAACGTAATTTCTCGTGGGGTCCTCGGTAGAATAAAATTCACGTACCGGTCGTGATCCATCGAATTCAGCTTCTGCAGGAGCAATCTCACTCGGTCTGCTTCTTCGAGTGCAGCACCGCCCTTGGAAAACACTTCTTGGTGTCGTGCATACCACTTGTCGAAAACCACTCCGTTTTGTGGATCGTATGAGAATTCCGGGAGCGTTTTTGACAGTGCCTCCATCAGGAACTCGGTGTCCTTCGGCTTCACAAGCTGTTCCAGAAGCGCTTTCTGTGCGTTGGCTTGCGCTTCCATCAAACGGCTCATCTGCTCGAGGATGTCAGCGAGATCTCCGCCCTTTGCCATTGTGAGGTTCGAATCGCGAATTCCACAGAACCGACGCGAAAACTACTTCGTACCGAACCGACTCGTCGCCACAATGTTGTGTCCCGTAATTAAACACGGCAGATAACAGGAACAACTTGAACAATATATTTATTAAACGTCTTAGGAAAAATGTGTCTTTATATTTATTACGTCATTAATTGACATATCAACAGCGTCAAGTTGGCTGCGATGCACAGCTTCTGCTGCTGAAGTTTTTCTTTTAGCACCAATGTTGCTTACCGTAAGGTGGTGCTATAGCACTTAAAAAGGTCATCCGTCAGCACACGGCCGGCTCGTGAAATTGGAAACAGTTTCCGAGCCTAATTGTCAAGGACCAAACACTATTATCTGGCCAAACGTAGGCCATAATCCCAAAGGAGTTTTCCCTTCCCAAAGCCACCATATTAAACGATTATTTTGATTAATAATTTTTTAGATCGATTAATCGAGAAGTAATCGGTTATCCCTACCTAATTACTCAGTAAATAAATACTTTGAAAAATTATGGTAAATTTAGGTGCTCAGAGACTGACATATACGAGCGTCAATTTTGACATACAATTCAGTAATAGCAGACGCGAAATTCAGCTCAATCAACCGTACTCTTTGACGAGTAACGAGCTTTTCAGTCTCGAAGCACTTAATTTTTCATGCAATGATTATTTACGTCTCATCTTTTATGTCAAAGATGGATTCCGTCACGTGTAAAATAAGTTATTTCTAAGTGTGCAGCTATAATTGAAAATGACCAGTATATTCATACTCAAACTTTAACGGCGGTCCCAACGAAAACTATCACACAGATATCAAATCTATTAGTTATTACTGATTCTTGCGTCCACTGACTAATGCTCATGTTAAAAAAAACTAATCCAAATCCATCAATCTGAACATTTCCGCAGTCCAACAAAAATGCTGTCCGTTTTGTTGATTTTACGACTTCTTCTGAAGTACTGAATTCCCAACTGCCGACGGCACCGTGTGTTCCTACCTCAAACTCAAGCTGAAAACCCCTAAGCAAAACCTACTCGGGAGAGGGAGGCGAATCGTAAAAAAAGTCAGATAATGGCTGAAATCCTCTTACCTGTTGGGAAGTTAGGTTTTTTACCCTGCTTTTCCCAAAGCACCATTCTTTGAATTTGTTGTTATTTTATTATTTCTGGAAGTAAAGATCGGTTCCTTCCCGTATCGAAGGCGTTTTTTTCTCTTTTCCTCCAAGTCTGCGTTGTTCCCAAACGAGCAAATAATTTATTTATGATCAATGTTTTGATCTCCTTCGGAAGTGACTCGAACTGCTCCCAGCCAGCAGTTAATTAAGCCATCAACAAAATATATTGATAAATAAATGAGCTTCGCCCTTCCAGGGAAGTTCGGGTCAATTAAGGGTGGAGAAGAAAATTGGTCGAATAAAATCGCTCCAGCAGCTACTGTTGCTGGAAATACTACTACGTGTGTATTTAGCTTCGATGTCACACGGATGCAGGCGGGTGACGACGGAAGGACGCGAACCAGAAAATATAATAAAAAGAGCGTTAAAACAAATACTCTATATAATTAATTTGTTTCGAGTAAACATAGCTCCAATTATAATTGCTCTTTCTGCTTCGCTCTTTCCCACTCTTAATTACTTAATTTGCATAATATTTCAACGAGCCATGTCTGAGAAATTGAGGCACTGCACTGCTTCGCCATCCACTCCCAGTCGCGAGCCGACCGTGTAGGGGAAGGAAAGAGACAGTGAAAACCACCAGTACATAAGTGTGTCTTGCCCCTCTTCGCAAACCTGCAAACTTTTCGATCCGTACCAACACATCACGCTCCACTGCAAAAAATTAAAAATGGCCGTTTTGCCTCCTTCTTCTACCCTAACAACACAGTAGTGCAGTGCAGTGGGGTAAATCACACCACTACAGTGCAAGAAAATCACATCGGAAACTTGACACCTTGAAGCAAGCATCGTTCAACACACAAAAAAATATCAGGGGAATTTCTGCAACGCATCGGCGCACTTTCGATCTCCGTCGGTCGGGTATTCGGTTTGTCAAATTTGCGCATGACCCAAATTCTGACACTTCTTGCTCTCGCGCAATCAACATGCCACAGCATCCTTCAGATGCCAGCCACTACGGCCACACGATTATTGCGGCATGATGACGAGTGGTGTAGGTAAATAAGAAGACGATGCGAACCGCAAAATTAACTAAACGACAATCGGGTGAGCAAACAGTTCCTGAACGATGAACTAAAGGTGTTGTTTTATGTTGCCTACTTTGAGATTTTTTTTTTTCGATCGTTGTTGTCGGTGTTTGATGGAGATTTCGGTTAGTCCAAGTGCCATAGAAACAGAGAGAGAGGGAGAGAGAGGGAGAGAGTTCCAGCAAGAGAAAGAGACGGGACGGCTGCCAATAAATATGTAATATCAATATGTCTAATTTGGAAATTTGCAGAAAATTTAAGTTTATTGATTTCTTTTTCATCTCACCGACCAACGAACCTCCATCTGTACCGTCTTTGTGTGATGCTGCGGTTTCGGGTGTGAATGTGTTTGTGACTTGGGTGGTCTACGTTTGAAGGTGGCATTAATGTGTTGTTTGGCGTGCCGAGAATCGGGTTAATTCAGATTTTAGATCAATATTCTTGCTTTAATGAATGTAGGTTGGTGTTTGTACGGCATAGGTAATCACATCTTAATGTTTTAATAGGACTAATGATTGAATTGTTTTTGAGTTACCTTTTTGTAGTTGTGTAAAAACCGAGGATTTCTGGTTTGTTCATTAGCAAATATATAAACCGTGTCCAATAGATTCTCATACAAATTCAAACTACATTTCAAGCGTAACTATTCAAATCGACGTATCTGCTCTTGTAAACAATAACTTCAATCGACGATTTGTCTTAACTGCCCACGCAACCAAACACCATCATTAGGTACACACACTAATCCAGCATTTAGTTGTTCGGTAACTGTAACGGTAACCGTAAAACAAATCTTTTACGGAATATTCAGTTCAAGTAAGCAGAATTACTGACATTCATCAAATCAGTGCCAACATTTCAAAGGGGCGTAATTGCTTTTGTAATGAATGGCTTTAGCCGTCAATTTCTCGCAAATAAAAGCCCACTCCTCAAAATTAACAATGCTAGCTGGTAGAGGAAGCATTCCTCTATCTGCTGGTGTAATTAATTTTCATGAGTGAGCTTTTATTTGCGAGAAATCGACGAATAAAGCCATTGTTTACAAATGCAATTACGCCCCTTTGAAATGTTGGCACTGAAATACAAACTGAACTTCGGTAACGTTTTTTTGTAGAATACTGAGCACAGAATTTGTAATTACTGAGAAAGCCAGAAAGTTCTAAATTTTCTGTATTGTATGAAAAGTCAGTAATTGTAATTTCTGTACACAAAGTAGTCATAGATTTTTCCTGGACATTTGTCAAAGACTCAACGTATTTTATTGACCATGAATTATAAAAGTTTAAGCTGTCATTTTTTGCAATCGTCATTTTAGCTTTTAGTGAAAATCCAGAAGCAAGAATTTTTTCCACGGCAGTGGAGTCGAGTCGGAGTCGCAGGCATTTTCGAGGTATCTGATGTCCAAATCGAAGGTATTCTTTCTATTACACCGATAAAACACCATTGACAGTAACTCCGAGCCCGGAACCTACCAAAAATGCCGCCGGCTCCTACCCGACTCTACAGCCCTGGTTTTTTTTTTCGTAAAAATTTTTCAGTAAACATTTGAGAAAAGTATGTTTTATCATCACGTATTGAAGTAAGCTCGACGTTTATATTGAATAATTTGCTATAATTGATAATAATTCTTTTTCAATGTTACGATATTAAAGGTAAACATTGAAACCCCAGCCCTTAGTGTGGGAAATTATGCGAAGACAACACTGATGGTGTTTATTTCCTGGAATTATTATTATTATTTATCTTTATTAGGGAGGCTTTCAGCCTTGGGCTGGTTCGCCTCCAATTATTTCCTGGAAGAATATCATGTGCAAACCCTTAATTGCTGAAAAATGAATCTTGATCAATGTGGGCGTCTTAATGGAATACCTGTATAAAGAGAGAGCGAGAGAGCGAAAGATTAGTAATTTCTCAACAGTGAGTCCAAATACACGAACTCATCTACCACGTCGATTTTGTCACTGTCAGTCAGAACTCGGGGTGGGAGGCTAACATTGTCTTCCCAAGAACCTCTTCTTTTCATGTATTTTGTCGTTGATGGCAAGTCCAATCCGTCTAGCTTCAGCCTTCAGTCTGATGTACTTTTCCGCCATCGTCTCAAAGTTCCGTGCCATGATGTCAATGTCATCGGCGAAGCCAAGAAGCTGGATGGACTTCCTGAAGATCGTGGCACTCGTGTCTATCCCAGCTCTTCTGATCACACCTTCTAACGCGATGTTGAATAGCAGACACGAAAGTCCATCACCTTGCCGTAGCCCCCTTCGAGATTAAAAGGGACTCAAGAGTGTCCCCGATACTCGAACAACGCACATCACTCGATCCATCGTCGCCTTGACCAGTCACGTCAGTTTAACTGGAAATCCGTACTCGTGCATAATCTGCCATAGCTGATCTCGATCGATTGTGTCGTATGCGGATTTGAAAACGACGAACATATGATGTATGGGCACGTTGTATTCGCGACATTTCTGCAGAACCTGCCGAATCGTGAAAATTTGGTCCGTGGTAGTGCGGGCACCCATGAATTCCGCCTGGTATTGCCCCACGAACTCTCTTGCAAATGGTAACGGGCGATGGCATAGAATGTGCGCCTATTTTGTAGATTGGGCATACGACACCTTCCATCCATTCCTCCGGTAATATCTCCTCCTCCCAAATCTTGGCAATTACACAGTGCAGCGCTCTAGCCAATGCTTCACCACCGTATTTTAATAGCTCACTTGGTAGTTGATCTACACCAGTTGCTTTGTTGTTCTTCAGCCGACCGATCTCCTCCTCAACTT